TACAGAGAAAGACAGAGTAAGACTTTGTTAGGATTTGTTGAATGAACATATATAATAATAAAAATTATAATATATAATTTGCAACTTTTTTGCATTAAAGAAAGCATTGAATTAATTCCGGTTTAGGTTATTGATGGAGAAAAAGTAGAAAGTAATTGAAAAATGAGGGGAAACAAAGCTGGGCAGAGGTTCTGTTTCCAGTAATAACTTCATATCAAAGAGTTCAAATAGAATTAGTTATTTTAACACATATTCATGCGTTAAAATTGTCCAATCAATGTCCTGACTCTTTCCATTAAAAGTGTTAATGTTTAGCTATTTTTTGAAAATGCAAAACAAACCCAAAAAGATTTTATAGCAAAAGAGGTTCAACAGAGTGTTACCCTTTGGAAGGCTTCATACAAATTCATTTTAAAATGTAGGTATCATTTTCCTTTTTATTATAATTTGTGTTGGTATGTAACCCAAAATAAAAAAAAGAATAAATAGGCAGAACAAAATGCTAAAGAATATTCCAAAAAGCATCCACTGATCTGCTTTGTTTAAGAGGAGGTCAGGGTCCAATATGTTACCTGGATTACATCCATCACCCGGGAGAGAGGCTTTCCTTCTCTCAGCTCCACATGATCCTGGCTGTCCTCTCTCCCCTTACATAATTTTCACACAGTGCCCTCGGAGTGGGTTATTGTCTCCTGCCAGTCGGAGCCGTGGAACAAAATTACTGCTCTGATGCTTCACTGGATGTTTTAGCTCAGGTTTTGTTCTTTTTGTTTTGTTAAAAGACAGAACACTGGTACCCACATAAATACTCATAAGTAGATTGATATGATATGCACTAATTGTTGTTCTGCAGGAAATAAGATCAAATAGATTTTTTTTAACTAGGACTCAAAATGAATCCAACCTTATAAAATATCACGGGAGGAATTAAGCGCCATACATGGATAAAAGAGTAGCAATAAGCATAACTAGGGTGTAGTGTAATGTCAAAGCATTGTTTATGTGGGTATGTTGTGTTTTAATCAAATATATATATATAGAAATCAAAAATGTTTTAATTCTTTTAACCTTCATTGCAGTATCCTACCGCAATAAAGATTTGTGTATAGTAAGGCTTTTGCACTACTTAAACAAGGGGACCAATAGGGTGCTGTAGTTGCAGTTTTATCCATGCAGGGCTGTATTTAAAGAGGAAAAAAATCCACTATTCGCTTTTCCTCATGCCCACATTTGACCTCAACCACTCCTGAGGGAAACATTGGGCTCTTTTGCTGACAAACACCCTGCAATGTTTACCAGCTAATGATCAGTTGCCTCTGTCTGTTGCTTATTTAATTTCTTAGTTCACCTAGTGTATAGAGCCTTATAGGAGATAATTTTGCTGAAACCATTTTTTGTTCTGCAAAATTATACAAAGTTAAAGAGTTATTAAGCCAATAGCAATGAACCCCTTTGAGAAATAAATCAAAATATATTGGCATTATTTTTAGTTTACCTTGAAGCGTCTCTATTAGACTGGATTTTATGATAATGTATTTAACATTACATTTAACCAAATAATTTACAGATATATATAATACTGTCTGTTGCTGTTATGTTTTAAAGATCCCTTCCAAGAATTGCGCTGGGAATATAAAAAACCCATTAAGGTCTGTGCTGAGCCCAATAATTCAGTGAGGGAAGTCTATAGGGCAAAGGACACAAAGGAGCTTATTTTAAAGAAGCAGGACTGGGAATAATGTAAAACTAAGCTCACTGGAAAGCTTAAGAGGAGAGAGGAAGGCTTAGAGAGACTTCTTACTGTCAAACTTGCAATATTTGCACCATAATAAAGTCCTAAAACTATGCAAATGCATTCACGTTCAAATGTGTGCATGTACGCTCTGTCAAAGGCAGTCAAAAACAAATAAGTGCCAACTCAGCAGAGCTGCACTGGCTTCAGAGCAAGAGAAAGGAAATTGAGCCAAGCTCTGTTATTTTGTGTAAAAAAAAATATTCTAACCTTGCTTTAATGCTGTTTGGGATTTAAATCTTTTGTTGGCTAATTTATTTTTATCTAATGAGCTACATTCTTCTTTATGTACATTTCATTTGTCTGTGTGGGACTTTAGAAATTGAATAGGTGGGGTGAAGAGATAATGAAAAAAAGGAAAGAGTAGAGGGGCAGCCAGAAGATGAAACTTAGCAAATTATGATTAAAAATAAAAGGCAGAGCTTAATGGGGTAAAACGTAAAATATGTCCTTTGAAAAAAATAATGAGAATAAAGAGAGGGAAATCAAACCAAACCTTGATGGTGTAGGCAGATAGTGATAGATACTGCCCATGAGTGCCACTGCTACACATGTGACTTAAATATGGCAGCTAAGACCAAACAATATGAGTTAGTATCAAATGAAACTATGCAAAAGGTTCACTTGTCTGACATGGCAGATAAATGAAACTAGACCTACTATACTGCTGTATGCATATCTAGCCATAGGTCCCTTACTTTATCGGTAATTGAATTGAAAATTCATGAACACTGATTTTATTTAAACCGGGTAAGGTGGTGGTCCTTTAGTTATTGTTTTCTTGTGAGTCGTTGATGCTCTCCTGGAGAAATTCTGGTAGGATGGCCATTCCTGGGAAGGTTCACTTCTGATCCATGTTACTCTATCTTTAAGGAATGGCTCTTATTATTTCCTCCCACGGTCTAAAAACATGACTGTTAGGTTAATTGGGTCCTCTAAATTCTCCTTAGGTGTAAGTGTGTGTGTGAATTGTTGTTTGTCTCTGTGTTGCCCTGCGATGGACTGGCGACTGTCCATGATGTGCCCCGCCCCTCGCCTATAGACAGCTGGAGATAGGCACCAGCACCCTTTGCGACCCCACTCGGGATAAAGCGTGTCAGATGATGGATGGATGGATGGATGGATGGATGGATGGATGGATGGATGGATGGATGGATGGATGGATGGATGGATGGATGGATGGCTCTTATTATAGAAGGGACCATCATTAGTGATAGTGATAGAAACTTTGTTTCTCAAATGTTCTTAATCAGTTAGACTGAAGTATATTTTGTTTTTTTGGATCTTTCAGCCCACATCATATTCATATTTAGGATTTCTTGGTCAAATTTGTGAAACACAGCTTAAATATTCAGGAGCTTAATTGCCAGTGTGGGTCAATACATGAAAAACTGGACAACTACGCTGTGCTCAACATGATTACTATGCCACTTTGGCATGCTCTGAAAAAATCACACACACTGAATGCTGCAACAGGCTGGCCCAGATCAAGTGCCACCTTGCTATCCATTTGCAAAAAAAGAACATCCCTTTTTATCCTCCAACAGCTCCTCGTTTTCTTCAAATTTACTTTGTGCCGTTTTCAATAGTCATGTTAGAATAAATTGATGGTATGGTTTTATTCTGAAATTCACCCCAAGTATTTCCTGTCTGCTTCCTGACTTTTCCTTGTTAAGATTTTGAAATTCAGGAGTTTTATGTGGATGGCGCTTCACTGTCTGGCCAAACTTCCTTCCTGCAGAATCATCCCGTTGAGCCCCACAGTCTCAGTAACCGCACCCACACTGGGATTATTAAGACCTTCTTTTTAGCTGATCAAAAAGGAGTTAAGATTAATGTCACAAAACACGACTACAGTATATGTCAACACTTGCAAAACAAAATATGCACCTGAATAAATGCAGTTAACAAAGATCGGTGAAACCAGTCGTATTGTTTGGTGACGGGTCAGCTTTAAGTAAACTGTTAGAAAATTGTTATTTATTACACTCACCCTTAAATATTTTTAAGTAAATACCAGCATCAGCAGAAAATACTTAAGTGTTGCACATTGGTTCTTGATCGTGTGGGAAAATCTCTAAGCATAAAAGGTGCCTATTTTTTCTCAGCTAGAAAGAAAACCCCACAGCAATGCAACTGTAACCTATGACCTGAATTGACCCGTTGTTGTGAATAAACACAACCTTTCTCCGGATGTGAACATCCTTTACAAATTTTTTTTACTGAGATTCCTGTTGCGGAAATATTATAAATCGGATTTAGACAGAAATACTGCAGAAAGAAGAATAGTAAAGGTTAGAAACCGTGGCAGATTATAAAGAGACACACAAATATGAGAAAAATACAGGAGTAAATAGGAGAGAACTGCAAATAATAAAGCTTAAATACATTTGTACCTTTAATGTGTTTGCAGCTGGTGGTAAGGGATAACTAGCTTGACTGCTGTTTTTAACCCGTGGTATTCATGATATCAGTACATTGCATATGTGCTCTGCCCCTGGATATATGACAATGTGAATGAAAACAGTCAATTCCCTGGTTTTTGTGCACAATGTGGCTGATAAAGTTGATTGTGATTTTAATCATTTGCTTTAACATATATAAGTGAAAGAATATGGATGGATGGATGGATGGATGGATGGATGGATGGATGGATGGATGGATGGATGGATGGATGGATGGATGGATGGATGGATGGATG